CTCGCCCAGAGGGGGCAGGGGGACACCCAGCTTGGCCCTCCCTTCCCAGTCGATCCCTGTTTTTCCCCAGTGCAGCCCCCATCCCTGGGTGTGTGCAGGACTGGCTGTGGGTTCCTGCTTCCCTCTCCCCACCACCGATCCCAAGCTCATCCCCTGCAGCCTGACCCCGGGCGCAGGGTGAGGCTGTTCAGCTCCACATTCTGTGTTGGTGGCCAAAGTCCAACTGTGCCATCTCCAGTTTCCGACCCCCTCCTGCTCTCCTTCCCTGCCAGCATGGGGACAGCCCGGCCCCTGCCCTGTCCCGGGGGCCACCGCTGCCCTTCGTCCCCACTTACCTCTGGCGCCAGGGACGGCCCCATGCCTGCTGCTGGCCTGGCTGCGGCACGGGGTGCTGGCTGCAATGTCACCGCTATCCTGGTGCACCCCGGCTTGGCCGGGTGCCGGTGATTATTCTTAGCAGTGTCCTGTGCTTTGCACTTGTCCCCTGATGCAGCTGAACCGCATCCCACCTCTTTCAGGCTGCTTCTTGCAGGTGCAAATGTCACCCGGTGACAGTGCCTCTCCCCACCGGGGATCTCTGCAGGGTTCACAGGCTGGGACAGGGACCTCAGCGGCCCCTGAATGTGGTGGCTGTCCCACCTTGAGTGCACTGCCCGGGCACCTCGGACCCCCAAGTGAGAAGGCACCAGGCGATCAGCTGAGGGGTGAGCCAGCGGATGAGCCCTTTGCACTGGCTGGGAGGTGACACAGGTGAGGGGACAGAGGCCAGGTCACCCCCAGCAGCACAATCCCCCCCCTTCCCCATCCCATCCCAGCACCCACCACCCCGGGGATGCCCCACAGCAGCTCTTCCCCCAGCACCCAGAGGGTGTCACTGAGAGAGCGAGCTGCAGCCCTGCATACCAGCTCCTATGGAGAAAATTAACTCTATCCCAACCAAAACCAGTACAGGTGCCTAAGGGAATTTGGGGGAGCAGGTCCAAGAGGCTGGGAGAAAGCAGTTGTGGGGGGCTCAGGCTGGCCCTGGAGCAGCTGAGGTCCCTGTGTGTCCCCAGGGATGGGGAAGGGGGCAGGGAGAGGATGGGGAGGGGACAGCAATTTTCTTGTGTTTAATTGGGCAGCACAAAGGAGCAGCGCAGCCAGCGGTGAGACCCTTCCCAAGGGCAAATGGCTGCGGTGCAGGGGAACCGGAGGGGGTGCTGGGTGCAAGACCCCCTCACCGCCCCTTCACGCTCCTCACCCAAATCCACCCGACACGTGCCGCCTGTGCGATGTGAGATGTCTGTGCCTCCTCCGCCCCCTCCCTGGGCTGCAGCTGAGCCCCCCGCCCCCCTGGCCCCTCTGCACCCCCGGCAGATGCGAGCGAAGGCCCCAGAGGCAGATGGCAACATTTGGTAGCTGAGGGGTCCCCGGCTGTGGGACTTTGCCAGGGTCCGGTGACCCGATGGCTGGGAAGCCCCCTCCCCACCCAGCCAGGGCTGAGGAGCCATCCCCAGCTCAGGGCAGGGTGGGCAGCAGGGGTTCCTGGGGTGGGCACATTGCCTGTGCCATGGGGTTGCCCGGATGGTGGGAGGACATGGGGGGATTGGCGGCCCAGGAGAGCAGGGGTCCGTCCTTGAGCTCACCCCCGGCAAGACCCATCCCCTAATATCTGTTTTCAGCTGAGGGCAGTGGGGATGGTCTTCCTGGGCTGCTGCACCATTGCTAGGGGACAAGGGGGACCCCCTCACCCCAGGGACCACTGGGCACCCCACGTGAGTGGGTATGACCCCCTAGATTTCAGTGCAGGGACCCGCTGGCAGGTCGCAGCCACTGGCCCCTGGCAGCCCCCCCACCCCTGCTCCATTTGCATCCCATTTCCATGTGAAAGGAGCAGGTCAAGTTGAAAGTTGAAAGGCTGGCAGGGGGGGGTCGGCTGGGGAAGGGGCCGCTGCCGGAGGTGAGACCCCAACAAAAGGGCCGGATCCCCAGGGCCCGGTGCTCGCCTGGCCACGGGCTGTGGCCCTGGCCCTGCTGGCAGCTGCCATCTGCGGGTCCGTCCGCCACCGTGCAGACAAAGGCCTCGCGCCCGGCACGTCCCCATCTGTCACCTCCCCGGCTCCCGGCCCCGAGCTGCTGCCTGCAGAGATCTGCGGGGAGAGCCGGGTGCGGGCAGCATCCTTCCCTCTGGAAGGTGCCCAGGTGATGCTGGAGAGCTTTGGCATCCAGTCCCCAAGTCTAGAAAGGGCCCCGTGCCTGGCAGAGCTGCTCTGCAGAGCCCACAGCTTGGGGAAACTGAGGCAGGAGCAAGTGGTGGCTCGCCCTGCGTCAGGGCAGGTAGGGCAGGGATGATTCCCCCACTGCAAAGCTGGGCGCAGCCTCGGCGGAGCAAGGGGCTCTAATTAAACTCCAGGAATTAGCACCTGCCAAGATGAGGGGGGTGAGGGGGGGCGCTCCCAGGGTGCCTCTGCCTGGGGCTGCCCGAACCATGCTGAGCCCCAGCCTCGCTGCTCCTTGGGCGCTGCAGGGCACCCACAGCTGCCTCCACCCAGCTCTTCCAGGAAGGATTTAGCCTCTGAGCTCGTTTTTTTTGCTGGTTGGCGGCTGCATTTAGCTCCTGGGGGGGGTCCTCGAAGTGGTGTGAGGCTGTGGGAGGTGAGAGTGGAACCAGTGCCAGCACCTCCCTGCCCCTCTTTCCAAACACCATTCCTCCCTCCCTGCCCCATCCCTGTGTGCCCTGGGGTAGTGGCAGAAGTCTGGAGCTGGGGGAGCTCTCCCGTGGTGGGGTTGCCCTCCCAAAACCTGTCCCGGGATGCTCCCAGAGAGGGCGAGGCTCCGGGGCGCTGCCTGCCTCCAACGCCCCGTTCCAAAAACAGCCGGGTGCCCAGACGTGCCCGGGCAGCTGCCTGCAGCCGGATACCCACACCCCACGCAGGCTCGGTAGCCACGGGGTACGCAGCCCACCCCACCAGCCACCGTCCCACGAGGAGCAGGGGAGAACGTGGCTGGGGAGAAGGAGACGGGGGACACCGGGAGGCCCCCCAGGAGAAGCAGTGTGGCGGCTGAGCCGTGCCGAGGAGGCTCCCACGTCGCTGGGGTGATCCAGGTGGGTGGCGGAGGTGGTACCGGTCCCGTGCCGGTCCCATGCCAACGGCGTGGGATGGGGTCACCCAGTGAGGGGGTGTCTCCAGGTGGGAGGTGATCCGGTGTGCCAGGTGAGCCTGGCTGGGCTACCCACACCAGGAGGGAGAGGAGCCGTGACCATGGTCAGGCATTGCCAGTCATGAGTGGGGCTGTCAGCTCTGACACTCGGATCCCCACGCTCCGGCCATGGATAATATCATGGGCATGGGATAATATCAAGGCATGGGGTAATATCACTGTGATTTTTGGGGCTGTTTGGTGGGCGACTCAGCTCGGCTCGGTGTAGCCCAGCTCAGCGCAGCCATGCCAGGGCAGACGGCTCAGCGCCGCAGGAATGTGGAGCAGCAGGTTGTGCCTGGCTGGGCTGTCCTTGCCAGGGAGCCCACACTGGCCACGGGTGGCCATGCTGGGGAGCCATGTGTCCCCCTCCCTGCCCCCCAACAGCCATCCCCTCAGCCCTTTGTCTCCGGGGCTGAGCCTCTCGCACCGTGCTGAGATCCAGAGCCCAATGTGGGGGACGTGCTCTGGCTTTGTCTTGCCCGGGTGATGGCACATTTGCACCCCTGTGCCAAACTGGGGAGCCCCCCCTGAGCCTGGCACAGGGTATGAGGGCAGTGGGGCCAGAAAAGCAGAAAGCCACCCCCGGGGAGGAGGCAGGAGGGTCTGTGTTGGTGCTGGGACCATCCCCAGCTGTCCCCATGCCTGGCCGGCCCCCCGCAGACACTTTCCAGGTCAGAAGGCAATGTGTCCCCCCTGGGCAGGGGACAGGGACAGGGACAGCCAGCCTCCCCCAAGCCACTTGCCCGTCACACTTCATCAGGAGGATGCACCGTGCGCCGTGGGGCACAGGGGACCATGTTGGGGTACACACACTTGGTAGGGTGAGGGGGGGTGGCCAGTGTGGACATGCTGGCACACGTGGGCTTGCAGAGCGTGCAGCCATGGCTCTCTGTGGCCATGGCGTGGTGCTGTGGGTGCCGGGACCAACGCTGGGACGGGCCCTGGGCTGCACCCAGGAAGTTGGGCACAGGTAAGCGGCTGACGGGACCGGCAGTCAGCTCAGGGCCACCGTGGCAAGGAGCGGGGCCACGGCACACTGGCCCCCGCCGTGCCCACCACCGCACCCGGTGAGTGCCAGGGCTTGCTGTCACCTTGCCTGTGACCCGGGATGGGGACCCCCAGGGGGGTTCTCGGGGTGGGGAGGGAGGGGGAGGGTAGGGGCAGGTCCGACCCCCCATGTCCCCCCGCTCTGTGCCCCACTGCTGCCTGAGCCCCTCTGTGTGTTGGGGTCCCTCTGGCAGTGCCCACCCCCGGGCAGGGGGCTGCAGAGGGGTGCGGGGCTGGTTTTCCCCCCCTTCCTCCTTGCCGTGGGTGGGTCATTGCCTCTGTGCGACCGTTGGGGCGGGCGGCTGGGCTTGTTGGGGTTGGCGGGGGCCCAAGGACACGGGGTGCACGGGGCCCCAGCCTGGCTCCCGGCACACCTCGGCTGGGGAAGCACAGGTGGAAACCCCCCACAGGTGCTTTCCAAGGGTCTCAAGGGTGGGAGTGGGGAGCTGGGGAGCAGCCAGAGCCTGCGGGGGAGCCGAGAGCTGCGGGAGTGGAGCCCCGAATCCTCCAGCCTGGTGGGTGGTGGGTGAGTGGAGTGGGGGATGCACCCCTTGGTGTGGGCAATGCGCTGCTGGGTGGGAGAAAAGCTCTCCTGGGAGCAGGGGATGCACCCCTGGATGCGGGAGATGCACCCCTGGTGTGGGGGATGCACCCCTGGATGCAGGGGATGCACCCCAGGGCACGGGCGATGTGGGCAGAGTATCGGTGAGGGGCTGCCAGACCACAGCCTCCCCCTCCCCGCCCCAGCCTCGCTCCCTGGGGTGCCCCTCGCCGGGGCTGGGGCTCCCTCCCCATTGGCCCCATTGGCCCAGGAGCGGTTTGAAGCAGGCTTGCTCCTCGGATTGGCCGGGGAAGAGTTCGGGGAGGCCTCGGCGGGCGGGTGGAGGCGTGGTGTTTGCCTTCAAATAGGGAGCCCGGCTCAGCCGGTGCAGACAGTGCGGCACCGCACAGCCCTGCGCAGCCTTTGTCTGCCCGCCTGCCCCCCCCCTACTCCAGCTCCCGCCACCACCCCCTCACTCCAGCCCCTCTTTGCAGCCGACAGCCCGTGAGCCCCTTGCTGCCCGTGGCTCTCACCCACCCTACGCCCCGCTGCCGGCGCGGAGGATGCCCGTCGAGGCGCTGCAAGCCGGCGACGCCATGAAGGGGGTGACAGTGGCGGCACCCTTCACCTCGGCCATGCCCATCCGCATCCTCCGCAAGGGTCCCGCGTATTTCCGCCGGCGTGCCGAGCCAGGCGCCGGGAAGCCCAGCGCGGTGGAAAGGTTGGAGGCTGACAAGGCCAAGTACGTGAAGAGCCAGCAGGTTGCCAGCACCCGGCAGGAGCCGGTGAAGCCGCCACTACTCAAGCAGCCCCTCTTCACCCCAGGGGTACGCCGGGCTGCGCTCACCCCCAGCCGCAGGGCACCCCCGGGGCCACGACGTACCGAAGCCGGTGGCCCGAAGACCTCCCTCGACTTGGAGATCCTCAACAACCTCATCAACCTCTGCGACAGCCCGTTCCCCAAGGCGGAGAGCCCGCTGGGCCGGGAGTGCAAGTGGAGGGTGGAGACGCCGGTGGCAATGGGTGGTGGGACGGAGGGTGCCAGCAAGCCACCGGAGAGCCCCGCTGCCACCAAGCCCCCTGGAAGCGTGGCCGTGCGGCGGGTGGATGTCCGTCCCTGTGGGGCTCCCCAGGGCCAGGTGACACCGGTGCCTGCGTCCCCCATCCCAGGTGGGATGCCTGCCACCCCGTCACGGATCTCGCCCGCCCGCCCCGACAGCGCCCGCCGGCAGACCCTGCTGCACCGCTCCAAGTCGGACCTGAGCGACCGGCTCTCGCGGGCCACCGCCGACCTGGAGCGCTTCTTCAACTACTGCGGCCTCGACCCCGAGGAGGTGCAGGACATGGGGGCCGAGCGCTTCGCCCGCGCCAGCTCCGACATCGTGTCCCTCAAGTTTCACAGCGTGAGCACGGCCAGCTCGGAGGGTGGCCGCTCACCGCCCAGCGTGGCCACGCCGGAGGGGCGGCCGGCCGAGCGCGTCCCCTATGGCATCTCCATCATCGAGCGCAACGCCCGCGTCATCAAGTGGCTGTACGGACTGCGCCAGGCCAGGGAGCCCCAGCAGGTCTCCGACGTGTAGCAGTGGTGGTGGTGGGCATCAGGGATGGGTTGCTCACGAGGAGCGGGAGATGCTGGACTGGAAGGGAGCACTGGGGGTGCCCTGGGAGGTGAGGGGACCTCTCAGTGGTGACAGAACCCTTGAACTGAGCACTTCCACCCTTGCTTCCCTACCCCCTGTGCCACAGTGAGCCTGGTGAGGTGACTGGACATCCTTCTCGCTGTCTCTGGCTCCATCAGAGCCCTGTGCTGGCACTGGAGAGCCAGGTTACCACGAGCCTGCGGGAGGGCAGAGGACACATGTCCCTGGGTGTGTGGCTGGTCCCCAACACCCTCTCCTCGCTGGCTCCTGCAGGAACCTGTGTGTGATCAGCCTGGCTGCCCTGCTCCCTGCCAGCACCCATGGGTGGGGGGTAAGGGGCTGGTTCCCCCTTGCACGGAGCAGGGACACAGCCCTGGGGGAAAGAGGGACCTGCCACCAAGGAGACCATGCTGTCCAGGATGGGGGCATATCGTGGTGGTCCCTGTCTTAAGGTCTGGGAGACACTGGGTGCTGCGCAAGGAGGGGGCAAACCCGACCCCCACCTTCGAGCAGCCCAGGGCTGTGTGTGTGTGCGAGTGTCTGTGAGTGTTTGTGTGCCCTCCTGGGTGCCAGTGGGGGCACAGCCCTGGGCACGCTGGGCCCTGGTATTTATGAAGATGATGGTTGTTGGTCTTCTCCTCATTTCTAGTGTGTTTTTTTCTGATGTTAGACCTGTAAATAGTAACGCAGACAGTTTTATTAAATCTCTGTGCTTTGGAGGCTGTGTGCCTTGCTGTCTCTCGAGGAGGTGGAGGCCGGGATGGGGCAGGGACCCTTGGGTGCCCGTGGCTCATTGGGAGCTGGAGCGATGGGTGCTGTGCCGTGGCGTGTCAGCGCGGGGCCCGGCGGGCACAGCGGGGGCGGCGCTCGGGTCCGGCAGGTCCCGGCAGAGCCCCGGTCGATGGGATTCCCCTCTGTGCTGCAACCAGCACCCTGCCAACCACGCAGCCCTCCCATCCCTCCTCGCCCCGCTCCGGCAACGCGCCGCTGAGCTTGGCCGAGTCCTGGCTCCTCCGGGGCTGCGAGATGGGGCGGCGATAGCAGAGACCTCCCAGGCGGGCTGGGGAGGCACGAGGATGAAAGTCGGCTCAGGGAACGCTTTGAAGATGAAAAACACCCGTGTGTTATCCCCAGGCACCCTCGCAGGCACCGCGGCCCTCCCGGCACTGCGGGTGCTGCCTGTGCCGGTGGGATCCTCCTGCTCCTTGCCATGCTGGTGGATCCCACATGGGCAAGTGGCTGCTGGGGAAGGTGGAGCCAAGGCCACCAGCACCTGCACCCAGGGAACCCCACCTGGACACCTTGTCGCTGCCTCCCTCTGGCTCCAGGCAGGATGGTGAAGCTGTGGCTGCAAATGGCTCCACACGTGCAGGGAGCCAGCCTACCTGGCTCAGGTCCCGCTTGGCAAACGCCATGTGCGTGGCGGCGGTGACAGGCCAGGGGACAAGGTCCAGCCACCCACCCCAGGGCTGCAGGTTTCATTTTTGAAGGGACCAGAGCTGCTGCCACCCCATCCCACCCCATCCACTGCTTCCCCCCAGCTCAACATCCACTGGTTGGGGCAGCAATGGGGTTTCTCTTGACCGGGGCTTCCAACCAGCAGTTGGGATCCCCAAAAAAGCCCTCAAAGATGAGTCTTTCCCACCCCAGCTTGGTTCTTGCCCTGTGTGTGTCCACCCAGAGCCACTGCCCAGGGTGCAGGACTCGTCCAGCTCCTGCTGGGATACAGGCAGGTCCGGCTGTCTGGGATGTGGCAGGGCAGGACGCGGTGGGCAGGACGTGGGGATGGCGTCTGACCTGTGAGTCAGGCTGACAAAGCGGGCTGGGGAGGAAGAACACACCCAAGGGATCTGTAATGACAACAAGTGGGGTGCTGGGTGCTTCCCCGAGGAGCCGGAAACCCCCAGGTGATGGGGACCCCGGGGTGACGGGGACCTGGGGCACCCCCTTGGGGACAGGCTTCGCCCTCGGGGAAAGCTCTGCAGGAACTGGATCCCTGCTGGTGGCTGGGACCAGCTGTGCTGCCGGATTCCTCAGCCTGGCGTGTCCAAGGCTTGGTCTAAATTTGCTGCTCTTGCCAAGGAGAGGGGGGGTCCACACCTGCCCCCCGCCAGGCGTGGGGTGGAGCAGCCGGCGTGACCCTCCAGGGCCCCTTGGCTTGAGCCTGGCATCCCCTGACCTGCGTGGCTGGGACCCACCGTGCTGTGTGACTGTCCAAAGCCCTGTGTGATTGTGTGCGCACGTGTTTGTGCACACACGTGTGCACGCATGTTCGTGTGCATGCATGAGCTTGTGTGTCCGTCTGTTCGCGTGCACACGTGTGTGCATGTAGATGCACGGACAGGAGCATCTCGTGTTCCCCAGGCAGGAGTCTTCATCTCACCCTGCACCCTGAGACCCCCTGTGTGTAACCCTGGCACAGCCGTGGTGAGGCTACGTGTGCCCCCCCGGGAATGCCCCCCCCTTTGCATGTCCCTGCTGGGGACAGCAGGACGGCCCCAGTGCTCCTATCATTTTCACTGGCAGCTGCCTCTTGGTGGCTCCGGTTTCGGTGGGGAGCCACAGCTGAGCCCATCTGTTATTTTTAGGGAGGAGGGACGGCCGGGGAGGGTGTCCATCACCCTGACCCCCCCACCCATGCTGGGATCTCCCATGGGTGCAGGCAGGAGCTGCAGGCAGACAGCAGGCAGAGGAAGAAAACCACCAGCACCCCAGTCTGGGGAGCCAGCCCCAGCACCCCGGGGTGGGGGCCACCCCCCTGGTCTGGCACGCAGCCCCCAGCCCAGGTGCAGCAGAACACGGGGGGGGACACGGGGGGGCCAGGGCCCGCGGCTGCGTCAGGACGGTTGCCGCCTGCGGTGCCGCTGGCTGGGAGCGCGGTGAGGGCTCGCGGGCGGCCCCCACACCCTGCATTTTCCATTTTTTAATTATTCCACACAGCCCCACTAATGAGCATCTCCTGGAAGTGCCAACTACGTCACGTGCTTTAATCACTGTTAATTAGCGAATGCCTCGGGACAGCATTGAGGGCAGGGTGTCAGGAGCCCCCCCCCCCTCGCTGCTGCGTGCGCAGCCGGTGCCAGCACCCTGCCAGGGGGTCCCTGTGTTCCTCACCCCCCTCTGTCCCCCAGGACGTGCAGCAGGACCTGGGGTTAGGTGACAGTGGAGGGTCCCCTGGCACCTCTACTTTGCAGGGTCTCTGCTGTCACCCACCCAGCAAATCACTGCCCAGGGAGAAAAGGACCCATTTTGGGGAGGGTGGCACAGGAATGCTTGGGTGTCACGAAGGCAGCACGTCCTTTGTAGCTGCCACCACTGCCCCAAGTCCCCAGGGCTTGGGTACCAGTCGGACAGGTGACCTGGGGACCCAGTGGGGCATCCCTGTCCCCCAGGGGTGGGGGTGCTTTGGGGAGCTGTCACCAGGCTGTGGGGGACTGCTAGTGGGGTTGGGGACAGAGACTGGAGGGGGACAGGGACACCTGCAGAAGGGTGACAGGGACAGGCGGTGACCAAGTGTCACCAAGGCCTCCCCTCCCACGAGTTCACCCGTGCACTGAGCTGCCCAGGGCTCAGGGTCCTCTGGAGATGCCCAGGGGTTTGTCTGTCCTGCCCTGTCCTTTTGTCCCAGTTGCTGAAGTGGGGGGACGGGTGTCTGCCCCGGGGTGGTGGGGTGCAGGGCCCCCCCCCCGCCTACTCCCACTCCATCCATGCTTAGAAAATAAATACCTCTTAGTATAAAAATAAAAGCGCCTCCAGCCCAGACTGTGGCATTTTAGGGGGGTGGCCTTGGGGCCCCCAGTGCTGCTGGCCGGGGACCCAGCTGCTCTGTGTCCTGCTCTTCCCAGGCTCCTCCCAAAAATGCCCTCAATGTGGGTTTGTGGGTTTGCCATCTCAATGCCACCACAGGCGAGGGGTCTGAGCCCCTGCCCTGCTTCCCCCCCCTGCA